CCCTGCAGCCTGATACGTGGCTCCGGCCGCGTTCAGCTAAATCACTCCTGACGCTCTTTCCCAACCAGGCTCTTTGGCTGCGTGCTGGGAAGTGTCAGCAAGGTGCCCTGTTTTATGCAGATCCAGTAAGGTCACGGCTGGATGACACCCTCTGACACTGCAAGAGGACACCGTGCTTTGAGGGTGGCAAGAGGCCAAGCCTTTCCTGGGAATGGGGGTTTCCTCTGGAATGTGCCTAGCCTGCAAAAACACTGCGACAGCAGAAAAATAATCCGGTACATCCTCAACAAATGTCCCAGTCACCAGCAGCTTATACTGTGTGTGTGTAACAAAGCACTAGGAGGTTTTTGTATACACAAAAGATTTATATGCACACACAGATACATACACACAGATACATACACACATACATAAAATCTCTATACACTTCTTATAATCTTCATATAGTAATGTTTATCAACAATCTGTAGAGAGGGTGATTGCAGAGCTAAAATAACTTGCATGGAAAGTGACATAAAATAAATTTATTGTGATATCCTTAGCAGTTCTGATGTCATGAAAGTGAAGCACAACTACCAGAGATAACCACAAGATGCTGTTAACCTTTCCCACAACTCTGCCAGGATTTTTCAATCCTGCCTGTTATTTCGCTCCAGCAACACTCCAAGGCATGAACAAGCAGAGATGTAATGGGAACCAGTAGTTTCATTTCCACTGCCAACAGGAGCTGGGACTTGAACCCAGACTTCCAGGTAGTGGTAAAAGTGGATAACCCATGGATTAATGAAAATAATAAAAGCATGCACAGAACGTCCCAACAGCCTACCATTAATCACAGGTGTGAAAACTGCCATGCCTTCAAAGTTTGGGTCAGTTACAGTTTTGTCCAGGATCAGGCCACCGATGCTGTTAAAAAATGACAAGGCAACGAAGGTCACTCCCCCTTCCCTAGGACCCCCTCCATCCTGCAAACAGCCCCTGCAATGGGGGACAGCTTCTTCCCCGTTGTCAATTCTGGACTATTTTCTACATCAGACACCAACTCCTTTTGCAGGGCAGCTATAACTGTTAGATAGTCTCCTGGTTTTTTGTTAATAGCATGGTAAGATCAGGAAGTCCCCTTTCCCCACCTTAGAGCACAAATGCTATTAGTCATGGAAGCTTTATCATCTTCCCAAAAAGTTTCTCTAAACGGGATTTATCGGCAGAACTCAAAATCACATTTTTATGAAAGACCATATTTACCACAGATGAACTCTCTCTCAGATCTCAGCTTGATCTGAAAAATGTAACACAGGGGAATGAACTACCCAGCTTTACACTCGCAGAAATTTCCATTTACACCTGTCTAAAAAGAAGGCTGACATCCCATTTGTCTGCAATGGTCATTTTACCCCTTTTTGGTTTCTTGCCTTGCTCTCCCAAGGTGCATGAATGTGTGAAGCTTCAATAACGACTTATTTTTTTCCCCATTCATTTTAGGGATCCCTGCGTGAGCTCTCACAGCCTGTTGGTGGCCCACTAAAAGTTGAAAAGTGCTCGAGAAGATGCCCTGCTCCACTGCTCCAGCAGCTCCTAGAGAACCCACGTGCACCTGCAGCCTGCACAATCCCTCCTGGGTTACCTGCTGATGCTCATTGCAACGATGACCGGCTGCCATCCCGACTTCAGGACTTCTGCCAGGGAAGGACTTTGCTTGGCGATGGCAACCCAGAGAGGGATCAGGATAATGAAGACGGCACAGATCAGAGGAGAAAGGTATTTCAGGTCTGGTGAAAAACAACAAAAAAGGAACCTTGAATTAACTGCCTCTGGCTCCACAGGTTGGCAAAACGATGCCGCACATTTCTGGAAGAATGGTAGCAAATATGGTGACAAAAGAAACGCATGAACCAAGATATTCCCGTCCCACCACAGAAACTTGTACTTAATTTACAAAACTCACTGCTAGAGGATGTTACTTGCA